TATTTTCATCAAAAGATTTACGGTAAATTAAGATATCATCAAAGTAAAAAACAACAAATTTTCCTAAGAAAGTTATAAGCACACGATTCATTAAGCGCATAAAGGTACTAGGTACATTAGTCAACCCAAATAGCATAACCAACCATTCATACAACCCATATTTAGTCTTAAAAGTTGTTTTCCATTTATCCCCCTCCCTTATTCTTATTTGGTGATATCTACTCTTAAGATCAATCTTAGAAAAATAACAAGAACCAAACAATTCATCAAGTAAATCATCCAAACGAGATATGGGATGTCTATACTTTATAGTGATATTATTGATGGCACAACAATTAGTTTACATCCTCCAGCTTTCATCATTCTTGGGTACTAAGATGACTGGTACAGCACAAGGGCTTAGGATTTCCTTCACCCATCCTTTCTCTAATAATCTTTCTACTTGTTTTTGAATATCTTGAGTTTCTTGAGGATGGCTCCTATATGTAGGCCGATTGGGCAATGTTGCTCCTAAAATCAAGTCAATTTGATGTTCTATCCCTTTAATTGGAGGTTAGCCGTGAGGCACTTTTTTAGGGAAGAAATCTTTAAATTCCTGCAAAAAAGAAGAAACATCACTAGACAAAATATTATTAACAAAAGAATTAATAAAATCATTATGAGGACTTTCTTTATATAAAAGTAGATACATAGGCTGAGAGGCCAACAAAGCTTTTCTCACTTTTTTTCTCTCAAATAAATTTTATCTCCTTTCATATTGATTTTTCTCATCACTTTTCTTTTTACCCTCATATTTTTATTTGGAAGTATCCTCACTTTTTCTCCTTTCTTTTTAAGTTCTCTCTCAAACTCACTCTTTTTCTTTTCATATCTTCTCTCTTACTCTCTTCTCAATCTCATGACTATTTGATCCTCACACACTTGAATAAGAATCATGGGCACTAAAGTGATTGTGCACATTTTATGTACAAATGTGAACTTGTTGGAATGACCATTATGAATAGCTTTCTTGTCAAACTGCCAAAGTCTTCCTAAGAGAATATGATTTGCTTCTATAGGCACTATATCACACAAGACTTCATTTTTATACTTACCAATAGAAAAAGTAATTAAAACTTATCTATTAACAACCAACTCTCCTTCATTACTCAACAATTGTAGCTTATAGGGCTTGGGGTACGAAGGAGTAGTAAGATTCAATTTCTCAACAAGTCTAATATTAGTCATATTGGTACAACTACCACCATCAACAATAAGAGAACAAACATTTCCAAGTATTCTCAAGAGTTCTTAAGGAAGTCAACTTTCAATCCACACAATCAACCAAAACCAAGAAATGATCAATCAAGAAAATTTTAAGACAAAATTAAGGAAGCCAACAAGACAATAGAAAAAAAGACTAAACAAGAAGTCAAGACTTATAAGGAAGCAAGTGTATTCTTATGAGGAGTTGTTTTAATTAACTTAACTCAAACAATGGACATATTATTTGAAAATCTTATGATTTATTTTAATTAACTTAACTATGACAATTGTCTATTAATTAGTATTCATATGGAGTTGTAGTTTATAAACAATTGAAATGTATCCGTGTAATTAGGTATTTATGAGGAGTTGTAAATTTATAAACTTATGAAATGCATATGTATGATAAGGTATTTGTATGATGTTTTTAATTGGGTTGACTAAGAATATATGTTAAAATTTTCAATCAAGGTTCAATATATACTTAAGCAACAAACCATTTTCAATCAAGGACCCACGACATGCAAAATTTTAAGCATTTATTTACAAAATTTGCTTTAAAAAAATGAAAATTGGCTTAAATAATACTTAGATTAAAAAAAGCAAATAGATACAAATAATTGGCCACAAACTGCAATAATTCACCCTACCAAAACACTTTTAAAACTCAAATTAGTTAATATACAGTGTAATTCAATTTAAAAGCAGTCAAAATAAGTCTAAATCTAGAATCTAAGTATTATCGGTAGACATTGAAATAAATAATTACAATTCAAATGTAAAGATAAAGGTTATTATATTAATTTTTATCTTCTATTATATCATTAAATAAATCCTAAATTAATTATAAAAATAAATTTATTTTCATTTATATAAATAATTTTTTATATAACTTTGAAATACTTGTAAAAGCTTATTTTGATTATCTTATTTTATTTTTTATTTCACAATTATATCAATTCTCAAGAGTTATTTAAAGATAAGTATATCTTTTTTAATTAAAAATAAATGTTTTTTATTTTTTATTTTTTTAACTGTGTCAATATAATTATTTATGATTAAATAACTATAAATTATATTAAAATGTTTTTTATTTATTGAGTATGGATAGAATTTTATTTCTTTTAAGTAGTATTATAGATTGAATTTTATTTATATTTGATTAAAATATATTGAAACTGTCATTATTTTAATTAATTAATCCAACCTATAATACCATGAATTTATATTAGATTAGATCAGTTGATATATGATCCTATTTTTAAATTTATAAAAAAAATTATTTATAAAAAGTAAAAATAGTATTATAAAAATAATAAAATTTCATGTTATAAATATATTTATATATTATATAATTTTTGTTAAGATATTTTAAATATATTAATGATAAATAAAATATAAATAATAAAAACTATAATATTATTAAGTTTTGATTGGATTTATTGTGTGTAAAACCTTACAATACGATAATAAGTTCAAAAATAATCATGATTTTTTTTTTTTAGTTTTTGAGTTGATTAATATAATACAACAAAGACAATATTATTACAATATCAAAGTTGTTTCAAAATGGTGGATGTACAATGGCTTTTGTATATAATCCATTAATTAAAGATATATTAATATTTGTTTAATTAATTAAAAAAAATCCATTCGAATAGACCTAACATCAATACATCTCACATTTGATTAAAAAAATATTTTGTTATATTTGTACCGATTAGCATATAAGTTTTTAAGTATTTATATAACAATCATATTTATTATTATTTTTTAAAAATTTTACAACAATAATAAAAAAAATATTAGTGTTACTCATGCTTTATTTTTATTTAAATTAATTATTTTTATTTTTATTACTTCTTTTAGAAAAATATTATTTTATCATTTAATTATATAGTTAAAAAAATCATTATTAATTTTTAGTTAAAATCGTAAATGATTAAGGTAACATATTAAGTTTAGTTAAAAAAAAAGAAACAAATACATAAACTAAATTAACAGCATAATGAATTATTTTGTAATCGTAATTATATTTAATATTTTTTAATATGATAAATTTTTATCATAATTTAATCAATAATAAATTAATAAATTTTATTTAAAACATGTTTTTATATTTAAAATATAATTTCTTCATATTAATATAAATAAAATAATTTAATAAATATTATAAATAAACAAGTGCCAAGCATGATTATAATCACTAGTCTATATGTGAAATTGAATGCAATTTGATATTAAATATTATTTTGAATAAATATAGTATATACGTCAATAATATTACAATTACCATTTATATTTATTAAATATTTAATTTAAGAGGCTCAGGTAATGCGTAAACTATGTAAAAAAATTATAATATATAATAAATATTAAATAATTTATTTTGATATATTTTATCATAATTCTTAAGTATAAGTTTTATCAAAAATATATTTACATTTAAAAAAATCATAGAGTCATACATCTGCCAATTATTGAACCCAAATTTATCATTTTTTATGTTTTATTTTTGTAATATATGATATTTTTATTTAATTTATTTATATATTAAAATTAATTTAAAAATAAAAATAATTTCGTTCAAACGCACTAATAATAACTAGTTATACGTAAGATTTCAACCAAATACAAATTAAAATACTTATAATGAAAGTTACATTTTATGCATTACAACTTGTTGAAACTCGATCAACTCCACATTGACAATAACAGAATCAAACTGCTACTGGTATTGAACTAGTTATAGCTTCAATAATCTCAATTTTTTTTACTAAACATGAATTAGGTGTTATCTTTTTATTTATGATTAATTCAGTAAAGTCTTACCATGATTTTTATGCATGTATTATTTTTATCATATCACTTATCTTTTATCATACTTCTTTCTTTTCTTCCAATTTTTCTTTGAGTAATTTATAATAAGAATAATAATGTTCTTTCATTTTTAACTTGCAACTTCTACTTGTACTCTTTAGTCTTCGTGAGAAACTTAATGGCAATTTCTGTTTGCGCAAGGATGAAAATTATAGATGAAATTTAAGATATTTATTAGAATAATAAAATGGTAAATGTTATTTCTGATACTCTACTTGAAAGAAATAATCATCAATTAACCACGGCAGCTACGTTATCTTTTTCCTTGTAAATTCTAATTATTTACCCTTTTTTAATATATTTTTAAGGCCATACAATTTTAATTATGTATATAGTAATTTTTATTAAAATATTAAAAATTATAAAATTTAACACAACAAAAATATTAAATAGTACAATTTTTAATAAAAAATTATTTATTAATTTCTCATTGTATGTCCTTAAATACATATTAGATAGACTAAATCATTTATATAATGTTTCTCACTGCAGCCATTTTCTAAGAACAATTGTTAAGAAATTAAAAATTATTTTTTTCTACTAAAATTCACCATAAAAATACATTAAAATCATTGTTATTATACATTAATAATATTTTTTATTATATATTTTGCACACTAATTAACGTTTTCTGTATTTATATATTGTTATTATCACAAACAAACTGGAGCAGCATAAATAAATTAAAACGTTTACATCAAAACTAGAAGACAAAGACATAAACTAAGAAGACTCTCGTATTATCCGTTTCCAATATATATATAAACAAAATGCTTGAAAGAGTCAAAAAGGAGCTAAGCCGGCTTAAGCTTTATAGTCTTATTCTGAATTCAAATAATCATTGATGAAATTCTTTGGCACTCTCGTTTTCATCAATGGAGGATAATGATCAGACATTGTTCACTGGCAAAGATGATGCCGTAGTGAATGGCTTGGCTGCACTTAGCTGTGTGGTGGCTATGATCACAATGTACCGTCTCATAAAAATGCTTTGCTGCAGCAAGCATTATAATATCAGAGACTACCAAAACATATTGGCACAGGCACAGGCACAGTCCGCAGCTAGGGCACTTGCACAAGCGGTGAGCATGGAAGAGAGAATTGCGGTGTCGCACCTGATTCCAACCCACAAGTATGAGAAGAAGAAGAACGATGATGATGACGTGGCAGATGGTGATGAAAATGACACGTGTGCTGTGTGTTTAGGAGACTTCGAAGAGGGTGAAGAGTTGAGGACGCTGCCGGAGTGCCTGCACTCTTTCCACGTGCAATGCATAGATAAGTGGCTCCATCACCATTCCAATTGCCCTATTTGTCGTGCTCCTGTAACACCTTCATCGGCGATGCTCCACCGTTCGCCGGAGTTTGGCTCCGGTGAGTCGAATGCATATCATAGCATAAACATGGAAATGGTGCAATGAACTCTCGTGGTGCCACCGTCACTTTGTTTTTTGAGTTTTGCATTATCTGTAACTGCCTAATACCACTACCTTTTTTCCATCTTATTTTTCATTTTATCTCATTATTTTTATTGTATCACATTAATTATCACATCTTTCAAAAGAATTTATTTTTTTTTATCTTTTACCAGGCAAGGTCTTCTAGGTGCTTTGTATAAAATAAAATAAAAAACTAAATTAAGATTTATTAATTAATTTTTTATATCATATTTTTATTGTTAAATATATGTTTACAAGATAATGACTATATTATTTAATATTATAAGTATTTTTAAAATAAAATTATATTTATAAAAAATATAACCGATTTAATTTTATTTTTTTAAAATATCAACATTTATTAAGAACAAATTTAGAGTACAAAGAAGTACTCTAACTCATTACAACTCTAAAGGAAATTAATAATGCATGACAAAAGATCATTAATTCAATTCTCAGTTGATCTTCCCAAATGTCATACTGCAAGCAACTTCCAAGATACATATTCCAAGTATTTGGCCTGAGCTTTGATCCCTTCTTCCTCGTTACTTTGTGAAGTGCACTCCTAACATTAATTCTTTCCTACACTACTGCCTCAACAACAACACTGGATTGAGAAAAAATTAGTCATTAACTCAATACGTGATTAGCCTTGTTTGACCCATGAAAATGCCCAATAATAAGGCCATCAGATTCGCCAATAAATTCTTTTTGTGCCACATCCTTTCCTTTAGTTGCTCCTTTATCAATAACACTCAGTTGTTATAATCCTCCATTAATTCTTATGTCTCACCAATTTTCTTCTTTATAAGTTTCGACAACAAAGGTCTACCTCGATTAGCCTCTTTTTCAAACGCATCCTCATGCATTCATACAAACATCATAATTGAAAATCAAGTTATTATTGATATTCATTTTATAATTTGAATTCTTTCTTATTTACGCATCTACTACATTCTCCATGAAATTTGATTTAGTACTTTTAAACTCCTCTTAATGTTGTGTAATGTCTGACACGAAATCACGTAAATTTTATTCTCGATAATTCACCCCCTATTCCCCTTCTTCCATGCTCTCCACACCATCTTTAGTCACTTTTTTTTTTTTTTGCGCTTCCTACCGTTAGATCACAACTCTTCTCACCATCATTTGAACTTTCATCCTCTAAAGCGTTCAAATCCAATAAAGCATCGCCATAACTCTCTGACGATGAAGTATTTAAATCATCATACCACCATCCTCCTTAAAAGAATTATCCCCCATATTCCTCACTTGGATTGAAAGCACAAGATCATTAACATGAATCTTTAAATCTTCATTAATTAACGCATGTATTTGAGTCTGTAGGTAAACTCTTACAAAATCCATCCCCAAGTCCTCCAGAACCTCCAATTCCAACCAAACCATATCATCACCATGGTAATGGCCTTGACATTCAGTATGGATTCCTGTAAAAGGAAGTCAACTACACTATTGAGCTCTTTTGACCAGTGTAACATTCCACCACTACCTTGCAGCACCTTTCAATTGTATCTTGATCAACATGGAACTCAATGTGACATCATTATTTTTCTTAGGTATCCACATTGCATTCTTGTTTAGCCCTCTAACAGCATCTTTCCCTTTCACCGTATCTACATAGCTTTGCCCACCAACACTACATCTTCTTTCTACCTTAGTCTCAATGCCGGTCAATAGTTTCGACACCTACTCATGCACAACATCTTAAGTTTATCTCGTGATTTCCTGTTTATTGTCATCTCTGCTATATCTAGACACGTTCACTGTCAGCTGCATGTTGCCTATTATTATGAAACTCAATCTCTTTTTCATATCGTGGACATCCCTAACCTCCGCAAACCGCACTAACCCAAATATGCGTCCATCCTTGCCCAGTTTCTTCAAAATAAACAAATCTTCAACCTTCCCAAACCTCTAGAATATCTCCCATAGTGCTAACATTCCATGATTCTCCAAAAAATTTGTAAAGAAAAATGTTGATAATATTTGTACATTACCAACGTAACTATTAAATTTTGCTTGACATTTTTTCATTAAGCGTTACAAGTGTAGTGTTTGTGAACCAACCTCCACTCTCCTTTCACACTATCTCACTCTCATTTGGTAGATTCACCCCACTCTAATTCTCCTACACCCAAACATCTCTGAAAAGGTGAAAAAGATCTCCAACCAGTTACCTCTTGATATAACCGATTTAATTACTTATTTAATTTTAGTAAATTACTTATTTAATTTTAGTAATTTAGTTTTTGTTTGTTATAAAAAGGATAAGAGAGAATATATAACAATTTTTTTCACTGACAAAGTGAGCATGACATATTGAAGTAAAATTCATGTCCATGATTTCTTCATTTTTATTTTTTGATTGTATTTTTTTAGGTGTACTAAAAAGAATAAAAAATATTTACATAACGTTACATATAGAACTAAATGTGACAGAATGTTATACTAATTCTATTTACATAATATTTACAACCTGAGCTCTAGACTAAAATAAGTTTGGTAAAATGCTCGCTTCATATTTGGACTATGAATTAGAAGTCTTAACCTAACTTAAATTCACATTTTATGTTTGAATAGATTTGACAAACTTAATCTCGATGAAAGAAAAATTTACACGAAAGGCTTAGCACTATTTTTTTTATTTATATATAATTGATGAAATTAGATTTCTTTTATATAAAATTTACTTTTCTCTCTCACATACATATACAGATATGATAGTAGTTTACTTTAGTTAAGCACAAATTATCGATTAATCAGACAATAATAATAGTCTACTTATGTCAACTTTGCATTATTTAGTATGCTTAGTGCTATGACACTTCCAAAGAGTTAACTCAAGTCATAAATTTCTTGACTTTGCATAACTTCCATTTCTTCATTTCATATTCAATAAAAATAATTTTTTCTAATATTTTATGAATGCATAAAAATAACAAATTAATACATGCATTTTAAATTCTTTTAACAGATATAACCACAACTTAGCACATACATGTTCGGTAATTGTCTTTTATAATAACACATACTTTATGCATAAACATTAATCAACAGACTATTTTTAATCTGTATATTGTAATTATATGTTTAAATCCGAAAGGTTTTTTCTTTGTCATATCATAAATTTTCATAACTGAAATGGACATTTAAAAAGTTAATCATCCCTGTTGTTTTTAATTGCTATTTGACCTCTAATTTTTTAATTAATTTCTAATATTAGTGTTTAATTAATAATTTTTAATTATATTTATTTTGTTGATTCTAATAAATTATTTTTTTACTATTTATTTAATTTAATTAATATAATACTTAATTTTATTATTAAGTCTGTAAAATATTTCTTTCTTCTAAAAGTTTTTCTATAAATTTTTATGATATTTTTAAAATTTATTATAATCATTTTAGAAAATATTTTATTATAATTTATTTAATCATTTTAGAATTATTTTAATATTATAAATTACTTAATTAATGAGTTAATTATATAATTAATCCCTTCCTGTGCCTAGGTCGGCTAAGAGGCCGAGATTTTAAAAATTCAAAAGTCCAAATTCAAAGTTCTGATTACTTCAACAAAATATCTATTATAAGTTCTCATTTGTCCAAACTTAAATCTATTAATTATAATTTACTTTAAATTCCAAAAACAATTATGAAGCTTCATTTTCTTCCTCCCTTGGACATACTTCATAGATAACCTTAGAATCTTTTATTTCTAATTTTTTTATCTTAACAGTTTATCATAAAAAAAAAAAAATTAAAATACTAGATATATTTTTAAGAAATAGCTCGACATTTTAATAATTCTTACTTAAAGTTTGAAAGTGTACAACAAAACCTCCATGGACCACCCTATTTCATGCCCATGTACCATTTATCATAGTGCTTCAAACATATTTTCAACCAATGAAAAGGTTTTATGCACAGAGAAACTCATACATGCACCGGTCAACCATAAACAACAAACAATTCTCAAAATAAGAGCATACACTTTCATAACATAATCCTTTTAGGTTTGAGACTTCTCAAGTTTATTGAATCAATATCATTGTTATAATTAGGATCTAAGAACTTATAGATTGAAGACAAATCTAATTGTAATAAATTTTCACCGAAAGAATCTTCTCCACCTTAGAACTTTTTGTTGATGTTCTTGCTTTGCCTTCCTTCTTTTTTTCTTCACCACTTCTTCTATATTCAATTCTTTCTCTTTGGTTTGATCCTCACAATTGATTTAGTCTAAATTTGAGTTTGGTTGTAAACAAGTATGAGACCGGATGCTAATTGATGGTAGTTTGAGCGATAAGTATCTGTGGAGTTTTTAGATGACCTCTTAGTTTTTCCTCTAATTTTTGTTGTTTTTTAAGCATTTAAAGGTCCTGTGGACGTGGCCTATGCATGTTCTTAAAATAAAATATTTTTACACTCACAATTATAACCAATAAAAATCATGATTAAAGTGTTTGAATTTCCACTAACCAATTGTGTTGGGTCAAATCAATATCTTCTTGGGTTGGTTAAAATTGACTCTCCAATAAAATGTTAGTCTAGGATTCTTATAGTTATCAGCTAATAAAAATTAGTCTAACAATTTTCCTAACCATTTAGATTGAGTTATAAAATCCAATTTGTCAAATTAACCTAAATTTGAGTTGTAATTCTATTTTTAGTTTTCTAACTAATAAAATTTATACAAAACTTCAATAAAAATTTGGAATATTCTTTAAATAAGATTCCAACTCCTCAAATTAGGTGTTTCTTTCCCATAATAGTTAAAAATTCTCCTAATTTAATTCTACAAAAAAATTTAATGGTTTTAGATAAACAAAGTCTACAATTCTTATTCGCACGCTATATTCGTACATAAAAATAATTTACAGAATAATATATTAAAAACCAATCTTACACTAGACCATTTGGTTTAAAACAATTTCGGCAGCCCAGTTCGGGGTTGCGCATTTGCGTAACAAATTCTAACTACAACAGATATTGCATCAAATCAAAACTAGGACAAACTGTATAATTAAAAAATATACTAGCCACTACTGCACATTTACCGCAACAAATTAGGATTGGACTATGCTCTCCGGCATCCCACTAGAATATTTACTATTTCTACAGTTTTTCAAAAAGAAATAGTTTCCATATGAAAAGCGTATATTACAAAAATTGACTAGAATATTGATCAAACTAAGACAGTATAAAGTCAATGGCCAAAACAGCATAACGACACTATAAGATATCCAGGAAAAACAAAATCAAATGCAGCTACAGAAAACGTTATGAAAATCGGAGTGGGCTCAAATCTTTGAAAACTCAGCATCCGCCACACCCTGACTCATGCCGTTAACTAGAGTCTCACAATTTAGTTGGTGATGCAAGTTAACAGCAATATAGATAAAAAATGGCAAGTTGAATGAGGGCGAAATCAAACAATTAATTTAAACAAACCAGAGTACTAATTCGATTAACAGACTTGAGTTCAACAAAAACTTTGTGAGTGAAAGTTTTAAAACTCATGATCTTCATAAAGCTAAAAGGTATCTCGAACAAAATTTGCCGAAACTATATGGATTACAAACTGGCTTCTCAAGGATATCATTTCTTGTCTTCCTTTTCCGCTTCAGCAGCCTTCTTTAGTCTGGCACCATAATGGCGTTGGTTTGTACGTTCAAGACGAAGCTTATAATAAGCTTTAAATGCCTTCATTTCATCTGTAACCTTAACAAGATCAACAGCTGGTTTCTCCCTCACAATGGGCAAGAATGGACCCTGAACTTGGGTGGCATTTACTAGTTCTTCAGGGCTAGAATCACCAGCCTGAAAAAAAATTGAGGCACAAAAATCTCAAACCTGGTATTGTCTCCTCCTTCCAGCAAAATGATGTTCATAAAACATAAAAAGCTGTCATAATCATCAAATTAATAATTGAAGAAATTTAGCATTACCTTGACCTTGTGTGCCCGCCTGGGGAACACAACCAACTTGGCCTTGTATGTTTTCAGCCTCTGCACATTAGCTTGCAGACTCTCCAAAGATCGATTCTTGCGGCGATGATCAACAGCAATGCCAATAGTTGGGGCAAGCTTCTTGGGAATACCAGCAGCCTAGGATGTATAAAAGATATGATCTGTCAGGAATCTTACACAGAATTTTCCGGTAACTACTAGATTTACTTTTCTTCTGGGCAGTTGCCATATGAATCATATAAAATTAAATGAAAACATATGTAAGGAATTCAAAATTTTCCCAGAAACAAAACTATCATGCAAAATAAGCAGAAATTAATGTGTTCAGTGGTGTAGAATTTAGGGCTCTTCCATAGCAAGGAAGTAAAAATTAAAATTGCATGGGACTCCCTCTTTGTTATCTTCAGAATTCATGCAGCAGCCTTGGCATGACAAGGACAACCAGCTATAACTGTCAAACCCATAGGTATTTTGATAACATCAAAACCACCCTACCAATCAAGGATCAATTGTAAATCATAACTCATAACAGGTGTTTTTGAGAGTTCAGGCAGAATAAGTGTTTTTACCTTCAGTTCTTCAAGAGAAAATCCTCTTCCAGCTCTGACTTTCATGTTATATTTCAGAGTTTGACCATGAACAATTGGTCTAAGGGGACCAGCTGTAGGCCTGGGAAAAATCTTAACAGCCTTCTTCTGCCGGGCTGAAAAAAGCGTAACCCGCAAGTCAATATATAAAAATAAACAATGCATCAATCAATTTTAACACTAAGATGATTTATTTTTCCTAGAATAACATGTATTAATTCAAAGTGATTGATTAATCATTGCAACAAAGTTTTAAAAAAAGAGAGCAAGAAATTAGTTTAAAATTACCCAACCGTCTTCTTGTCTTCCGTGCTGGTTGATTGAACCAAGTCTTGACATAGTTTTGCCAATGCTTCCGGAAGTGCCCATTGGGGATCACATTATTATGCTTAACCATGGCTTACCTACAGAAGACAACAACAGCAATAAAAAGACAAGGTAAATAAAATGATCAGCAAAAGACCATATAAACGAGACAATTTACTTACGAATCTCAAATAATGTACAATGCCCCTTTAACTAAATTGATCCACATTTGATATTCAAAAACAAACCATGCTAGAGTGATACCAAAATATAGGATCCATTTGTTTAGTGCTTGTTAAAACCAAAATGAATATATCAACCACAGACCATTATCATGTTTCTCTATAGAATCACAATCATCACTGTATACAATATTTACCAAGGTATAAATTATAAAACGAACAAGTCAGGTAATACATTGGATCAATCGAATACTACAAAGAAGTTTCACATTTCTCATCTTACTAACGAGGGAATAATTCTGCAAAGACATAAATCAATTAGTTTCTTAATTATGTTATGTAGCGCTTCAATTCAAGCGCTTAACCCAAAGAAACAAAGTCTGTATCTTCACGTGGTGTTACTTAAAATATGCTCCATAGCTACAGCACCATTCACTACTCAACTTTGTTAGAATGATTGAATTAATGTAGTTTATACAAATACAACTACATTATAATTGTTTGACACAAAAAACAAATTAAATAAAAAGAAGGAAATGATATTTTAAATTACACATCGTCTTGAAAAGCAAAAGCAGAAAAATTTACAAACAAAGGGCGCAGCTAATAAATTTTTATATGTACACACAATTACGAGCATTTTCCAAAACCAAAACCAAAAGAAACACAATAGTCACAAAACGGTGATTACTGAACCTCAAAATGAAAAGATACTTGTGCAACGAAAAAAAATTGCTACAAATTGAAAGTCCACGAATTGATAAAAAAAAAAAAATGAAACTGAAAGAGGAGAAAGTGATAAAAATTGAGAAAAAAGAGGGTGAGAGAGTTACCGGTCCTTCTTTACTTCGCACGCCGAAGGAGCTTGTAGTTGCAGCCGACGAGAGACGCTGGGCGTAGTGAGGTAGGGTTAATGTTAGGATTTTATAAGAGCTTTTAATATGGGCTTTTCAAATGGGCCAACCCAGCCCGTTTATTGCTTAACAGGCTGGACCAAAGTTCGTGTTTAAAAAGAATTGCGTTGAAAAACAAAAAAAACACAGAATTATAAAGAGGGTAGCGCTACGTGGCTTTTTTAAAATAATGTAAATTTAAAAATAATTTATTTATTATAATACTTTTTTAAAATGGTAAATTTGGCCACGTGTTACATATTTTGTTATGTTAATAGAACTGGCAAAAGTCTTTAATTTTAATTTTTTTAAAATTAAATTTTATCACCAAAAGCACAACATAAGCAAGATGTTGTCAACAATTTTACTACAGGTTTAATAAAATTAAAAAGAAGTTTTATCGTGAACAAAAGAAAATTTTCTAAAGATGACACGTGGCACTTTCTAGTAAGTTTCGTTATGACACAATTTATGGAGTTTATATGTGACACGAGTATAGCATAATATACTAATAATATAACGAAAGTTGTATACCTTATATCATTTTGACATTTTCACGTTGATACATGTTTAGGTCCAAAATATTATGCTCTATAATCATATGGACCTTTCATTTCATTTTATTTGAAGAAGAAAATTTGAGAGGCATATCATATTAGTTTTATTTAATTTGTTTTATGATTTGTTGTTAATTTACTTCAAAAATATAAAATTGGTTATTATTGATTTATTTTGAAATAAATAATATAATTAATTAGTGAATGATCGTTACTTTTTTAGATTTTAATTTTAGAAAAATAAATAAAATATTAATTAATTTTATTTATAAAAATAAAAGATGAATGAAATTATTATTATTATATATTGGAATGGTAGAATTTCTGAAAAAAAATGAATGAGTGAGTTTTGAAAAAAATAAAAAAAATGATTCGGATAAAATAAGGAATAAGTTTGAAGCTTTTTAAAAAAATTATTTGCAACTTAATATTGGTCATAATCAAGTTATTTATAAATTTTTACAATTTTTTTTTATAAAAATATTAGTTGATATACAATTTTGAATATATGTGATAATGAAGATATTGATTACATGATAAGTGGATGTCAACAACAAAATGATAACAATGTTATTGAGTTAAATGTGAATGTCATTGTTGATGGAAGTTATCAGTTCTATAATAATGAATTTAAATTTATCATTTTTACATCAAAATGATTTATCACTTGTAAATTTTATTACTATCAAGTAAAATTGATCTTTAGAAATTATTTTATTAATATATTTATTTATTAAAATTAAAAGTTATGAATTTATTGTAATAAAAAAATTAGTAATGATATTGACGAAAAAATATCAACTTAATTATAATAGTTTATATTTTTACTTACAAAAGATTTTGTTTTCGTTCTCTAACTTCTTTTTTTATTCATTTTAGTCTTCAAAACTTTATTTTTTTTCTCATGTTAGTCTTTTTGGTTAATTCTATTACATAGTCTAATTGAAAAAACATATGTTACGCTGAGGTGAAATCTTAAACTTTACCATCATTAACTAGTCCTGCTTAGATTTTTGAATTGAAAAGTCATTATTACACGTATATAGGTTGTCTCACTCCCACCCTAGCATCACTTTCTCGGTCTTCAATAATAATTCTCGGTTGGATCTTGTGACCTCAATTTGGTTAAATGGCACAACAAAGTGCTTTTTAACGAGAAGATAGTGGAGTAAGCAATAAGTTCACAGTGGTTATACACAACACAAAACTAGTAGAAGAGATCGGAGTAGCTAACAATGATAATGGAAATACTTCACAACACTTTACTATTTGCAATCACATATCCAATAATTAAAGATTTAATACTTAAAAAATTATTTCTTCTAGGGAGTGAAGATGTCCAAAGTCTGGACTTTTGAGATTATATTCTTAAGATTTTTACATATTTATGAAATAATTTTTTTTTAATTTTCAAAAGTCTCATGTTTACTGCTTGACTTTTCTCCAACAATAATTAAAAACAATTGTCCAAACTCTGAACAAGAAATAATAAGGAATAACCTAGGCCTTAAATCTCAATAAATGGATGCTAATTAGCCTTCTAAACTTAAATATAATAAAATAATTTTTTTTTAAAAAATTCTAAGAATCTTGATAGCTTCCTTTTCTTCTGATTTTCTCTTCTTCTATATCTAAGCAGTCAATTTTTTCACTTATCACTCATCATAGCCTCAATTGTGAAAATATTATTTTAATAAGTTCCTTATCTTTTATTTACAAAAGAAAAAGTATTGCAGTTATTTTGAAATCTTTTTACTTTAAATCTCATTACTTGTATATATACTTTTCAAAATTCATTTTGTTAAATACTTCAAACCTGTCTTAAAATGAATTGCATGTACATTTATTTATTTAAATAAATTACACAATTCTTCATAATTTAGAATATTTTAAATATATTTTTATTTTATTCTACTTCTATTTATTAAATTTGAGTAACCATTCTTGAATAAAATTGTTTTTAAGAACCCTTAACATTCTTATTATGTTACGTGGTTTCTTTTAAATGAACATTTAATTTTTTTACTAATTTTAGTTTATTTTATTTTTTTTCTTATTATTTATTTTAAATTTTGATACACTACATCTAAATTAAAGATACAACTTTTTAAGATAAAGTACATTGAAATAGTATTACAGTCTTAATAAATATTAATTTAAATTTATTATTTTTAGTTTGAATTTTGATTGTCATATTAATAAAGATAAAAAATAAATTTAATATCAATTTATATTTAAATTTTAAAAATTATATATTTGATTTGTAAATTTTAGTATAATAAATTTTTATTATTAATAATAAAAATATTTATTATTTTAATTCATGAAAATTATTATATTTAAAACTAATCGTGCAATATACCATTATTTATTTATTTTAAAAATATTTTAATTAAATAATATCACTCCACTGCTCCGTTACCATCGTAATATATTTTAATCATTTTGTTTTTTCACAGTAAATATACATGAAAAGTTGTAAAGTTATCATTTGACTATCATTATTTAATTTTAAAATGTTTAATATTATTTTCCATTTTTCATTTTCAATGTAATGAATTAATTATATATGAAGTTATACATAAGAAATATCTCATACATATATAAACAATATATAACATAAATTTCATATATGCCAAGAGCGCCTATTAAAAAAGTATTATTTACTTTTGCCAACATAAATCGCAGTGTGACATTTAATAACATTGTCTGCTTGGATAAACACATTAATCTTCTAATATTTATAAAACATTTTTGCATTATTAATAGTCATTTATCAAGATTAAAAAATATAATCACATATAATTAATATCTATTTAGTATTATTTGGGAAGTAAAGAATTAATGAAGTTATATTCTTTTATCGTTTGTTATGTATATATTCTAGAATTAAAATTGTGTGACGTGTTATTTATAATATTTTTTATACAATATTTTTATTTTTTGTATATTTTTATTAATTTTGTTCTAAATTTTAGATATTAAAGTTTTTTTTAACTTTTTTTTATTTTATATAAATTTATATATTTTTATGAATATTTATTTTTATATTTGTAAAATTTATCTTAATTTTCTAATTTTAAATTTTAAAATTTAATTTTAATCTTAAAAAAAATATTTTAACACTATACAATAAAAATATTATTTTTAAATAAATTAATTTTATTAAATTTTAATATTTTGATTCATCCTAGTCATAGAGTTAAGTTAAATAATTTTTAAAATAATTTTATTATTATATATAATTATTTATGAAAATATAAATTTTATTTTTTAATTATTAAATTATATATATGCGTGTATATATTACAAAAAGGAAATAATGTCACATATCATAATAAAAATATTACATAAATTTTCATTATAATTCTTGTAATCTTGTTTTTTATTTTAAAAAAAGAAAAATTAAAAAAAAAACACAAAGACTATGAACAAAAAAGTACAGTTGCAGTAAAAAAAAATATATAAAAGAAAAAAAGATAGGAAGGAATGTGAATTTGGTGTATAAATTTTTCACTATATTTCATGGGTATTTTCTTTATAAATTAAACTCTTATTTTAGTATCTGAAATAGTATGTGTAAAACAAATTAGTTTTTAAAATTTTAAAATATTACATTAATCTTTAACTTTCATTTATATTAGATATTTTAGTTTTTAGACTCAAATATCATCAATATATAATGATAAAATATTAACATGTTACGTTAAATAAAAGTGTAAAAGTTAAGTTAGCAACATTAGTTAACGTGGTCAAAAAATTATTATTCATAATTTTTTTCTTTTTCTTTGAGTAAGAAAACCTTAATATGATATAGAGATCATTCATTTGTACGTTTAGGCCATGTATCAATATCATTCTAAGTCATTGTTTTCAATGTTCAACCAAGTGTCCAAGTCTAATGTTCATTAGCTACATCTAGTTGTATGGATTTTATACAAGTTTGTGAAATTCGTAACTATCTAATGACCATAATAATAATGATTTATTTATTGGAATGGAGGTGGTGATAATATTGCAACCACAATAATCATGCTTCTTAAAGATATTTGTATAGAGGGATATAGATTTTGTACTATGAAAACTCTAAAAAAAATTTTTTTGGTAAAGTTAACTTATGTATTGTTGATAGTTCGAGTCAAATAACTATTATGTGGTAAGGAGCATTAAGCTATCCATATATTTTAATCTAACTTAATATTTAAAATTAATGATGTTTAATTCTTTAACACAAAATATGATATTTATATGTTCTTACGAGTATTACTAAATAATTTTTTAATAATTATTTCCTATATTTTAATGATGATGAGTTCGAAGATAAATTCATTAGAAAACTTTTATTACTATTAATAGTCATTTAAAATGCATAATACAACTAAAAATAACACAAATAACATAAAAAGAAAAACTAATTAGAAACATAAATAAAAATGACGGTAAAAAGGAAATAGCATCTACATAGTTAAATACAATTGTATAAATAGTGAAACAATATCATTCTTAATTAATTTAGTTTATACACTTGTCTGTGTGTGTTAGACACGGTATTTAAGTCCAAGAACTAAGATGAACTGTAAAAATAAATATTCATAGAAAAAAGTGATTCTTTTTTATATTTCAAGAAATAAAATAAGCTATAAAAACGAGGTTTTAATTTTTCTGTGTGTGTTACCATTATTTTTCAAATGCAATGCATCCTTTGTTTGTTTCTGTGCCCTGGGCTTCTACGTGCACTTCATAGCTTTACCTCAACGTTGGATTCATTCCACTATCAACACTACGTGCTTCTAATCTATTCCACCGTCTAAGGATATATCCACGTCTTTCCTCTTTTCTTCTTTCACTCTCCTTTCTTGTTCTTATCTCTCTCCGTTTGTTCTCTTTCACAATTCAATTCATATCTCATCTCAGCTATGCGTAGAAATTAGAAAACAACCCATCTCCGTGATTCAACTTTTCCCTTCATTTTCTGATTTTATGAATGAAAAGGGGAGATTTTTATGCTAAATTGGTCAAAGCCAGTATTTTTTCTGAATTGTTATTTGATTACATTCAGAGTTTCTGATACGTTGGCATTGTGTTTAGTTTTTTAATTTGACATTTCTTCTGTTAAGGAACCCTTTAATGGGGTGTTTCAATTTCAGTAGTGTTGAGTATGAACCTGTTGATGATGAGTTATCTTCTCCAAGGGAAAACCACAAAAGGAGAGTTTCAGTTCTTCCCTTGATATTTCTCATCTTTTATGAGGTTTCTGGAGGACCCTTTGGTGTTGAGGACACTGTGCATGCAGCAGGTCCTCTGTTAGCCCTTATTGGGTTCCTAGTTTTCCCATTCATTTGGAGTGTTCCTGAGGCTTTGATCACTGCAGAGATGGGTACCATGTTTCCTGAAAACAGTGGTTATGTGGTTTGGGTTTCTTCTGCTTTGGGTCCCTACTGGGGATTTCAGCAAGGTTGGATGAAATGGCTAAGTGGGGTGATTGATAATGCTTTGTACCCAGTTCTTTTTCTTGATTATATGAAATCAGGAATCCCATCATTAGGTTGTGGAGTTCCCAGGGCTGTTTCAATTTGTGGTTTAACTGTGGTTCTCACTTGTTTGAACTATAGGGGTTTAACCATTGTGGGATTTGTTGCAGTTCTTTTAGGTGTTTTCTCTCTCCTTCCTTTTGTGGTCATGGGACTATTGTCAATTCCAAACTTGAAACCTTCCAGATGGTGTGTGACAAATGTAGATGATGTTGATTGGAATCTGTATTTGAACACTCTATTTTGGAACCTTAATTATTGGGACTCTATTAGTACTCTTGCTGGAGAAGTTGAAAATCCAAAGAAAACTCTTCCCAAGGCTTTATTTTATGCTTTGATACTTGTAGTTCTAGGCTATTTCCTCCCTCTTCTAATTGGCACTGGTGCTGTTCCCCTTAATAGAGAGTTGTGGACTGATGGGTACTTCTCAGATATTGCTGAGATTGTTGGAGGAGTGTGGTTGAGATGGTGGCTTCAGGTTGCTGCTGCAATGTCAAACATGGGAATGTTTGTTGCTGAAATGAGTAGTGACTCATTCCAGCTTCTAGGGATGGCTGAGAGAGGAATGCTACCTGAGTTTTTTGGCAAGAGATCTCGTTATGGTACCCCTCTTATAGGAATACTCTTTTCAGCCTCTGGTGTAGTCTTACTTTCATGGCTGAGCTTTCAGGAAATTGTGGCTGCAGAAAATTTCTTGTACTGTTTTGGAATGATTTTGGAGTTTGTTGCATTTATATTGTTGAGGATCAAACTCCCCAATGCTTCAAGGCCTTATAAGATACCAGGGGGAATAGCTGGTGCAATTGCTATTTGCATTCCTCCCGCACTTTTGATTTGTGTGGTGCTGGCATTCTCTTCCTTGAAAGTCATGGTGATAGGCCTTGTTGCTGTGGTGATTGGCCTTGTAATGCAACCTTGTCTTAAATTTTTGGAGGAAAAGAGATTGTTGAAGTTCTCAGTTAGTTCTGAGCTTCAAGAAGTTCACAATGAGGAGAGCGTTCACCCTTTGGTGCATTAGACTTGTGCAAAAAAGTTTACAAGTTGTCCTGTTTGAAGAGACTTAAAGAGAAAATTGAACTGTGTAACATAACTTGAAATTGAAATGCATTTTGTCTTGTTACAACTTAAGCTGCATATCAATGTTTGGAATTTGTCGATAGATAGGATAGGTTGGTAACGAGAAACCTAAAGCAGAAGATTAGAATGTTTTAAGAAACGAATTTATTTGGTGTCTTTGTATCTATTTTTCTTTTAAATAATAAAATTTGGAAATTCAAAATCTAGTTATACAGCTGCCCGTGTGAAAATGCCTCAATTACACTGGTCGTGCTAGAAGGAATAATGTTGGGTGTCACAAAATTACCACAAGATGAAAACGGTTAAAATATAATGTTACTGCTAAGTGTCCTAGCATACTAATTAAAATTTTTAAAAAACATTAAATTTATATTGATATATTTAGAAAGTCCTATAGTCGATCTCGACCTCTAAGTAAAAGGAAGGGTAGGGTTGTGTTAAAAATTTGACAATTAACATTAAACTTATTATACATGTGTACATAGATACAATTTACATTAATTATTAATTAATAAAACTCATTTTAGTTATTAATTATTTATTTGACAAAATTATTTTTACATCTATTAATTTTTTAATATCAATTGATCCCGTTATTTTCACTTAATATGCTATTAGCCTTTTATCTTTATAATTTGATCAGTTTCCATTATTAATATAAAAAATAAATAAGTAAATAAAAATCAAAATATAACATGTAAAAGTTTAAAAAATTAATTTTATATTTATTTTTTTATTTTATTAACCTAAATTTTTAAGGTTAAGTACATTTATAAATAGTATGATTTTATTAAAAATATATATAACAACTATTAAATTTTAATATAGTCAAAATAATAAATACTTTTTTAATGAAAATTTATCGCACTTTTTTTTTTTTGCTAATCAAAGGAGCTAAAAGCCCAACAAAAAAGAACTACACAACAAGTTTAATAATACAGTCTTACAAATCTGATCAACTTCAAAGCATCTCTTATTTTACAAATAACATGAAATAAAGGATGTGAGGCAGATTGAAGCTTTAAAACAAGCGAGATGGCTTCCTTTGAATCAGATTCAATCTAAATAAACGGCAAATTCAGTTTATTCACCAATTGAATACCACAGAGTAAACTCTAAAGCTCTGCAGTTACAGGGGAACAGAGCTCGATTTTACTATAAAAACTAATTATGCACTTACCTTGAGCATTCCTAATCAGACCACCACAAGCCGCAGCTCCCGTAGCATTAGAAACAGTTCCATTAACATTTAACTTGAAGTGATCAGCAGGAGGAAGAATCCATCTAACCATTCCATGCAGAGAAGAAGAGATTTTCCTACAAAAAACAAAACAATATTCAGCATCATACATGGCCTTTCCAGTAATACTATTAGGTTTAGCAGACTGATTATTAAAAATAAACTCATTTCTTTCCAACCAGAGAGACCAAGTGACATAGCCAAAAATCAAATTCCAATTCTGAAATCTGTTGAGGCTAAAGGCAGAGAGATTATTAGATAACCAAGTAGACAACCCAACACTGAAAAACTTTATCCAATGGTCAACAAAAATAAAATGACTCCAAACTATTTTAGCAGACAAGTAATCTCTCGACACATGCATTATAGTTTCTTGATCAAAACCACACCTATGACATAAGGGAGAATCAATCATCTTTCTTTTAAATCTTTCCTTATTTGTTAATAGCTTTCCATGAACAATTTTCCAAAGAAAAAAAAGTAATTTTTGGAGGGCCTACCCACTTCCACACTGTCTGAAATAGAGGTTGATTAGAACTGTCATTAAGCTTATCACAACTCAACAATAAATAAGCAGTCTTTATAAAAAAAAGTTTCATTATTAGTTAAGGTCCAATACACAAAATCATGGGTATTAGTTCTGATAGGAGGCCTAAGTTGATCAATAGAATAGCAGATCTAGTTTGGGAGAAAAGAAGATAATTTATTTAAGTCTCACTTACCATTAATAGTAAACAAGGCTACAAGGAGGTCCAACTCAGATACAAGGATTAGAGAATTGGCAAAGCTAGATAAGATTGTTAAAGTGACCATATTATCAGTCCATAATTTTGTTGACATATCATCCCTAATAGTTTAGCCCAATCCTTTGGAAAAATGAGACCAAACAGATATCATACCCTTCCATAGGTGAGAAGCTCTAGAGTTATTCCTAAGATGACACTCACTTCTCAGGTTAAACCTGTATTTTTTTTGTGAGCACTTGGACTCAGAGATCTGAGGGGGGATTAATCAGTCTCCAACACAATTTCATCATAAAATTAAGGGTATTCAGATCCCTAAAACCCAGCCTTCCAACATTCTTAGGGGAGCAAATTTTATCCCAGCTTAAAAGGTGACATTTTATACCATTTAAAGAGCCTTAAATAAACTTCTTACATATATTATTAATTTCATTACAAACAGACTTAGGGATGCTAAGGGACTGCATAACATAGGAATGAATGCTTAATAAACAAGATTGAGCAAGAGTCACTCGCCCAGTGAAAGATAAAAAAAAATTATTTTTCATAAAGATATTTTTTTCTTAACCTTATCAATCAGAAAGGAGAAGTGGTTCCTAGTGTGTTTCTTAGATACAATAGGTATTTCAAGGTATTTTCCTATTTAGGTACTGGGATTAAAGCCTAAGCAGTCAAATATGAAATTTCTTATGGAAGGATCAATATTATTAGAGAAGAAGATAAAAGATTTATTATTGTTAACCCTCAGACCAGAGGCATCCTCAAAAGTAGATAAAACTTCCTTAATGAGGACAGCTTGATTTAAATCAGCTTTGGAGACCAGAATAATGTCATCTGCAAAGAAAATGTGAGAAATTCTAGGACCTTGATTATTAAATGAAAATGGGAGCCATTTTTTTATCCAAGACCTTATCATTAATAAGTGGAGCAAGTTTTTCCATACAAAGAACAAAAAGATAAGGGGAAAGGGGGTCTCCTTGGCAGATTCCCTTGACAGGAGAAAAATCTTCAGTCAAATTATTATTCCAATTAATAGCAATTCTAGGAGAAGAGATGCAGTATTGAATTAGATTGATTAGATCAATGGGCAAGTCAATTTCTTGTAAAACTTGGGTAATAAAGCTCCAATGAAGTTTATTATAAGCTTTCTCAATATCCAATTTAATAATCATGTAATTGTTCCTATGTTTAAGGGTAAAGAATGAATGAATTACTTCCTATAAGATGAGGGTATTGTCAATGGCCTGCCTACGTGGAATAAAACTAGTTTGATTTGCATAAACAATATGAGGAAGAACAGTTCTTAACCTATTAGCAACAAGTTTGATTATAATTTTATAACTAACATTGCATAAAGAGATGAGCCTAAAGTTATTGATGTATTCAAGGTTATCCAACGTAAGAATAAGGGTAATAGTGATTTCATTAATTTTAGCAATTTTGGAATAATTCTGAAAAATGACTAGCACAAGTTTAAAAATAAAAGGAGCAAGAAACTCCCATTGATTTTTATAGAAAAGAGCATGAAACCCATCAGGCACAGGGGATTTAAAAGTACCTATAGAGAAAAGAGACATCTTAACTTCATTCAAAGAGATGGAGGAAGACAAGTTATTTCTGTCACACTCCCTTAAAGGAGGAAAAGAACTAATAGTGTGGAAAGGGAACAATAAAGAGGAGAAAGATCAAAGTGAATATCTTTAAAATAATTAAGCACTATGGATTTCAGTTTTAAGGGATCATGCTCCCAGTTACTAAAATCATCTCTTAATGATTCAATAATATTTTTATTCCTTTTGAAAATAACTGCTTTATGAAAAAAATTTGTATTTCTATCACCTAAATTAATCTAAGTAGACCTATAATGATGAAATCGACAAGTTTCTTCAAGATCAAGAATATGTTGATATTCAACCCAGAGGGATTTCATAAGTTCACATAAAAAGGGGTTATTCTTAGATCCTAGTTTACAAAAAATTTCATTTATTCTACTCAGAAGACGATTTTTTCTGTGAAAAATATTACCACAAGTGTGATTATTCCAATAAAAAATATTGATCCTGAACCTTTGTATATTTTCTATCTAGGGACTGCAAGGGACCTAGGAATTTTTAACCTGATTGGTAAAATCTAGATAGAATAACCAGGGAGCAAGAAACTTAAAGGTCTTCTTAGAATTAGCTGGTTTATAATTAGATCTTACTTTGAGACAGAGCCCAATATGATTCGATTTAGGAATAGGGATATGGATAAATAAACTATTAAAAAAATAAAGTCTCCAATCATCATTAGTCATAACTCTATCTAGCCTCTCTTTTATATTACCTTTATACCAAGTGAAGGGGTTACCTTTGTACCCCAAGTCATGAAGATCACAATTATTTAGGCAGTCAGCAAAACTATTCTTCTGCTGGAGATTAACAAAGCTATCACCACATTTTTTTCACTCATAAAGGACTGATTTAAAGTCCCCAGTTAGACACCAAGGGCTTTGGACAAATTTACTAAAGTCTATTAGCTCTTTCTAATAATCATATCTGGCTTTAGGATAGAAGCTAGCATATATAAAAGATAAAATCTAGTCAGGCTAATCACTGCTACTAATTTTAAGATTCACTACAAATTTAGTTTTAGAAATCACAAAGGTTGTAATCATTTTGGTATTCTAGCAACACCAAATACATCTAGAAAAATCTATTGCATCAACTTTAACTAAACCACTCCGGTTAATTTTTTTAATAATCTTGTCAACTCGATCTAAACTAACTCTAGGTTCAAATAAAGCAATAAAATCAAGATTATAAATTTTAATTAGGTCATTAATAAAATAGCAAAAGATTTATTACTAGCACCTCCATAATTCCAGGAAAAACAATTCATAAGAATAGAAAAGGCAGATTAAATTGCATCTCTAAGATGCTAGTCCTTTAGAGAAATGTAATCCAAAGGCAAGGGGCT